AAAAAAAAAAAAAAAAAAAAAAAAGATTGAGAATATGCGGTAACCTCCAGAGGTCACCGCAAATTTCCTCCCCCCGCGGCTCCGCAGGCCGCTGATAAATGGTCACTCACCCCTTTTTGAGAATTTGGGCAGATGTTCACCATGTGTGACTATCCGGGAACCCTTTTTGGGGGGGCAAATGGGGATTTGGTACCTAGTGTGAGCGTGCCCTTATGCATTCGCAAGTAACCGCCCCGCCTAACAAACACCGTCTCTACCGCCTTCCTCTCGAGCCATCCCAACGTCATCATGTTCTTATCCGACCGGAAAGATAACCTGTCTACATTCATGCCCTCGTATACCTTCATGACAAGGGTCCGTTGTGTTCGAGAGAAGACACCGCAGTCCTTAGGGAGAGCACAAATTTGATGCCTCCGGTATTAGCTAGTGCAGCTTGTATTCATTCAAGCATTTCAATTCGGTTGATTTTTTATTTTTATTTTTCTTCGAGACCTTACAAACGTTCAGAGGTTTCTATTACCGAAAGTCTTTTAGGCCATACTCACACGAGCACTTTCCTGAATGTATCTGACCCAATTACGGCAAGATCTGGACGCATCTGACCGGAATCAAGTCCAGAAACACAGTTGAAATAGTCCTATTGTGAGAGTACGCCCTTAGATACTCCTTTTGTTCGTACTTAACAACTGCTGGCTCCCAATTCTTTTTTCTTTTTTTTTTTCCTTTTCTTTTTTTTTTTTTTTTTGCGCAGGGGCCATGCTAATCTTCTCTGTATCGTTCCAATTTTAACGGATGTCCCGAAGGACTGGCTCCCAATTCTGGAGCGCTTTCTTCGTCGAGTCCACCCTCGTGTGCCCGACTACCTGGACCCACTCCAAATCATGTTCTGACACCAATTCAGAAGCTCTTTTCAGACCCCCCTTGTCAACCCCATTACAAAAAAATGGCGCCCGTAATTGCACGTCCTCGAACAACCGCCGCAGAGATGACAGATTCCGGCTTGGCGTCCAGATACAGTAAATTCCCTCGCCGCACCACGTGCCAAAAGTCAACATTTTGAAAGTATCAGGACCTGTTATCGTCTCGATACATTCAAAATGTTGGCGTTTGGCGAGTGGTGCGGCGAGTCCCAAAGAGGAACATTTTCCCCCTTCGTTTCACCTACCCTGCTTCACCACCCTTTAGGTAAATCCCCCAACATAACACCCTACTATCACGACTGTATTTGGCCAGAATAGAGCTCCGAGTCGTATATATTTCCGAGGGAATGAGTTCGCAGCATCTTTATAAATTCTCCTTCCTTTCGATTGTTTCCACTCGCTGTTGTCCACCAGAATTATCTTTCGACCGAAAACAGCCTATGCCTTATGCCCTACTAAATGGAAGGCATCAGACGAGGAAGACGCGTCTTCCTCTTCCTCTTCTTCCTCTTCCTCTTCCTCTTCCTCTTCTTCGTCTTCAATCTTCCTCTTCTTCGTCTTCAATCTTCACTCCATTGAAGACGCGTCTTCCTCTTCCTCTTCTTCCTCTTCCTCTTCTTCCTCTTCCTCTTTATCTTCTTCGTCTTCAATCTTCCTCTTCTTCGCCTTCCTCTTCCTCTTCTTCGTCTTCAATCTTCACTCCATTGATTCTTTTCTTGCTTGGCATCTTCATTTCAACCTGCTTTATTTTCTCCCTACCATTCTCCGCGTCTTCATCATCACCATCATCAGCATCATCATCCTCTTTTAGATTTGGTGCTTCCTACGCCAAGGAAACCTCAAGGGAGAGTCAGAGAAAAAGGATTGCCGTGCACCCACATTCCTTTCACTCCAATTCATCCACATCAGGTCTCGAACCCTGCTAAACTTGACTGGTGTGCAGAGGCTTAAATCGGTCGGCTACACAGCCTTACTCCTTCCTGCACATTTCCAGTCGTTTCCACTCGGCGCCATCCTTCTTTTTTTTCCCCGACTTCTTTCTCCCTTTCTTTTCCACGCTTTCTACGCTTTCCACGCTTTATACGGGTCTGGAGCAGACGGGGTGACAAAAAGGGAAGGCCCGGGCGGTGGCGATGGGGAGAAGAGTGTAATAAGGAGGTGGGGGGAGGAAAGAACGGGGGCAAAGGACCGAGGGGGAGGGGGAGGTAATCACAGTTTTAGAAGGTAGGAGGTAATTAGTCCGGTACGAGGTATACAGTCCTTGGGTCGTGGTTTTGGTTTCGTTTTTTTTTTTTTTTCTGTTTACTTAGTCTTTCGTTTTGTTTTCATTCACCCCTTCCTCCTATTTCCTTTTCCTCATTTGTGGATTTCAATGACATCACCAAACACCAAACAAACACCGATACGACTTCATAGATCATCCGTTCATTCCATTCCTTTTTTCGTTTTGGCTGGTTACAAAAAGGAAAAAGGAATTGGCTTGTTACCGCTCTGCTTAGACTATATACTGAACCCTTTTACAAAAAGGAAAAAGGAATTGGCCATGCTAATCTTCTCTCTACCAGCTATGCTAATCCTCTCTCTACCAGCTATGCTAATCTTCTCTCTACCAGCTAAGCTATACCCCAGAGGGCCCAGAACGAGATCCGGCTGTATCGTCGCTTCATCATCCACTTAAAGCAGAAACTGTTGTGAACAACTGCTCATAAATCGAGTGGAAACGCAAAGGTTTCAGATTTACGAAAAAAAAAAAAGGGAAAAAACGGCACGAGATTACCCGGGCTGTACCTGGATGTTACACCTACGACTGCTGACCGAAAGGTCAGGAGCTCGGATTCCATCTGTGGATATGATTATCCCAGAAGGCCTCCACAACTCCCTCTGCAGGTCCTTAAAAAAGAGTGTGTGTGTGGGGGGG